GACTGAGCCACCCAGGCGCCCCCCTCCAAAATATTTCTAATTCCAGAGGAGGTCACTATATATGGGATGCCCCTGAAGACAGCTGTGCTAACGCTGGCCAAAGTTAGGTGAATGAGAATCCCATCTAAGGGCTTTTTCTGATGAGGTTGAATGAATAAGATATACAGATATATAGTGAATGGCAATAAGCTGTCCATGAACCCAATGCCAGTTCGGACAATCCAGTCATGTTTAGGAACTTGCAGTGATTCATTACTACCTGAGTGGTGGCTTCTGCCCAAGACCTTCCTCCTGAGCTCCAGAAGCACTGACCACACACACACACACGCTCACACGCTCACACGCATTTCCCAAACTCGCTCATGACTTCGTACCCCACGTTTGCTGCTCCTCTCTCAGGCAGCAGCATTCATTGAGTTCAGAGCTGAGAGTAGGATCATCTCAATATTTTCTACACTCTCACTTCCCTAGTCAAAGAAATGTCATGCTGATTCTATTCCCCACATATAAGCACTATATCCCTCCTTCCCTGGCTCATTCTTCCACATTTATTTTTTTTAAAGATTTTATTTATTTATTTGAGACACAGAGAGAGAGCACGAGTGGAGGGGAGAAGCAGACGCCCCACTGAGCAGGGAGCCCGATGCGGGGCTCCATCCCAGAACCCTGGGATCACGACCTGAGCCGAAGGCAGACCCTTAACTGGCTGAGCCACCCAGGTGCCCCATCCCCATTTATTTTTTAATTCATGCCTTGAAAATCTCTTTTGTGGTGTACTGTGATGCATTTATAATTAGTTCAATTTTCTTGCTCAACTTTGCCATTCAACTCATCTACTATGTGGAAAATAATTATGTTTGATTGTGTCATATCCTTGCTTAAAACTAATCCAGAATAACACGAAAAAGCTGTGGGGAGAGAGAAACAAATAACAACGGGGACGAATAGAAAAACCACAAGATGGTAGACTTAAATCCACCTAAATTACAAATTACATAAATCAAATGTAAGTAGGCTAACCATAACAATTAAAAGCTGAATGTTGTCAGACAGGATTAAAAAAAAAAAAAAAGCAAGAGTCAATTATAACCCACCTGCAAGAAATGTTCTTTACAGATAAACACGCAGGAGTGACATCATGGAAACGTCAGAGTTGGGGGCTCCAAAAATCACTTCCTCCACGGGAGCAACCACGGAGTTGGCAACAATGAACAGAATCAATGTTTTTGGAAGTCTGAGATCTAGCAGAAAACTTACAGGAACCAGGGGAGTGCTTAATGAGAAAAAAAGGGCTTGATTTTGGTAAGAAAGTCTTATGGCCCTTCTGCCTACCCACCTACCATCCAGCCGTCCCTAGCTCCGCGGTGGCCAGGGAGCCCGCGATCTCTATTCCTGGAGTGGCTGGCTGAAATGAAGGGGGAGGCAATGCAGACAGCGTGCTTAAAATAAAGTTTGTGGTCTTGTGTTTTGACCTCGTTCTGTGGTTCTCTGAGAGAACGGTGCAGAGACCTTTGTTTGCAACCATCCCCTCAAGATGGAGCACCACTCTGGATGGCATCTGTTGAAAGTATTTAAAAATACACACTAGCTAAGGCTGCTTGGAGAAAGCGATGGCCTATGGGACGCGCAGAGGATAGATCCTAAAACCTGAGGAGGAGGGGACTGAAGAGGAGCATTCCCAGGGACAGAGCTCTGAGGGGCTACCCCATACATGAGGTGGGATAGTTAATTTTATGTGTTATCTTGCCTAGGCTGTCTGTATCCAGGTGTTTGGTCAAACACCAGTCTGGATATTACTTGAAGGTATTTTTTAGATGAGATTAATATTTAAATCAGTAATTTTGAGCAAATCAGAATACCCTACATAATGTGGTGGGTGTCATCCAATCAGTAAAGAAATTCTACCTCCAGCCTGCCTTGGGACCAGAACTGTAAGATCAGCTCTTCCCTGGGTCTCCAGCCCAGCGGCCTGCCAGTCCCCACAACGGGGTGAGCCAATTCCTTCAAATCCCTCTCTGTGTCTCTCTCTCTGTCTCTGTCTCTCTCCCCACATCCCATTTGTTCGGTTTCTCTGGTGGACCCTGACTTACCCTACAAAGACAAGCTTAGGATGAACAAAGTAACAAAAAAATATGAAAATAGGGGTGTGTCAAACAGCGAAAGGTTTGCATTAAGGTGGTCTAAAAAATGAAAGACAAGTATTGAAAACAAAGAAAAATTAAGTCAAGAGGCAAGGAGTAAAGATACAGAATTAAAAAAGAATACCTGAATTTCTAGACAAATATATAGATAGATAGATAGATAGATAGATAGTAAAAATTTACAGATTAAAAGCATTATTAAAATGAAACTGGAAATCTTGTTTAACACACAAGCATTAAAAAGTAATATAAAACATTTAATAAGAGGATGAGCATACATAAAGAGGGAAAAGAAGAAATTGAGGAGGATGAGTGGAAAGAGGAGTAAGAATGAAGAAAGAGAAAATAAAAATGAAACATGTAAATCCGTGAAGGAAAAGTGTAAAATAAGAAATAGACTCTATAGTAATGGCAGAAATGATGCTCAAAAATGATACAGCATGAGGAAAAAGGAGAATGCTAGAATTTTAAGAATTATGTGTAAAAAAATTTTTAAAGGATATCGGAGGGAAGAAGAATAAAAGTTCCACACATCCACTTGTGAAATCAGGGAAAAGCAGAAGCACTTATGGGATGCTAGAGATCTAGTTACAGGAAAAAGGAGGACAGCTCTGTACATAAGTGGTTGTAAAAAAGCATAAAGAAAATACATAAAATATCTGGAAGGTATGCAAAACACCTTAAATGAGAAATAAATGGGTACAGAATAAAGCTGAGTAGAATAGAAGGCAGAGGAAAACAAGAGAAGTTGTAACAGAAGGCAGGAGGTGACCCAGTAAAGGAGATTGAGAATCAGATCTTTTAAGAAAGTCACCTAGTGTATGAAGTACAGAGAAGAAAGAGCAGAAGAATAAAAATATTAGAGGGATGTAATGAATGGAATTAAGTAAAGCTTGAGCAAAATGATTAATGCCAAAATAGATTTAAAATGTGAGAAGACAGGGCACCTGGTTGGCTCAGCCTGTGAAGCCTGCAACTCTTGGTCTCAGGGTTATGAGTTCAAGCCCATGCTGGGTGTAGAGAGGACTTAAAATAAATAAATAAAAAATGAAAAAGTATAGAATATTATTTTTAATAAATAAATAAGATAAAAAATAAAATACAATGTGAGAGGAATTTTAAAAAGAAATACTGTAAAAGTGGACAATGAAACTTGAGTAGATTTAAACACAGCAAGTGCATTATGAGGATAGGAGATTACTAAAGTACTTAATAAATACTTGTTTAGCACTTATTCTGTATAAAGCAATGTCCTAATGCTTTACAGATACTTAATTTATTTAATTGTCATAAAATCCATGAGATATGTACAATAATTCTTCCTAATTCACAGACGAAGACCCGAAGAGACTGAGTAACCAGCCCAGGGCCTCCCCGCTAATATGTGGCAGGAACTGAACTGACCCCAGGCAGCCTCTCACCTCCATCCATCCTGCTAACCACTGCTTGGGGAAGGAAGTAGCAGAAAAGAAAAAGAGAAATAAAGGAAGGGAGAAAAAATAAAGAGAAAACAAAAAGACCAAGAGTCAGTGTTTGGTAACCAAAATTAGTAAGAGGTAACACTGAAATAGCAGGAGAAAAATGTGAGCATAAAGTACATTAATTTGGGAAAGGAACGAATGAGGGTGGTGCTGACTAATAAATGTGCAGGGCCCCACGCGAGATGAAAACACAGGGCCTCTCGTGAAAAAGTATTAGGAATTTCGAGATGATAACAGCAAAAGCAATAAGCCAAACTCAGGACTGTCCCCGTGAAGCTGGCCCTAAATAAGAATAAGAAAAGCTTTCAGGAGCCTTAAACCTCCCTCAAATTCTCAGAGCAGAAGGCTTTGAAGAATACTCACCAAAGGAGGTTTCCACCGCCGGTCAATGCAGGCAGGGCGGGCCCAGACTGCTCGGGGCCCACTGGGAGAGAAGGCGCGTCTTCGTTTGGACTTGTCATCCTCAGTGAACTCGGCCCACTGGGAGAGAAGGTGGGTCTTCGTTTGGACTTGTCATCCTCAGTGAAGGTGTCTCTGCAGAGAGCAGATTGCCCCAATGTGTCCAGAGAAGCCACAGATCCCTCTCCAGATACCACGTCCTCCTGGCAAATTTAATATAATCATCAATTAAAATCACGAACTTAACACCTGGGCACGCTTCTTTTCAGCCCAGACGATGCATACCCGAGTGTATTCTCCGGCGCTGCAGGACGACCCCAGAGATGAGTCCGCCGTGAGCTTCACGCAGGGGACAGAAAGTGCAGCTCTGCTCTTCCGTGGGCCTTCCTGCAGCGTCCCAGGGAACTTTTCTCCCTTGAACGCTGCCGTGATAGCGAAACATTTCGAGTGGGTCTGTATTTCTGAAGTTGTCTTAAAAAGCAATCTGAAACGCTGTTAAGTTTTTTTTTTTCCATGAGCTAGGCCCCAAATTTTAATAGAACCCCTAGTACCTGTATTAGTTGATATGTACAAGATGCCTTAAGATTTAAAATTTTTTACTGTATTTTAATTGCTTTCAACAACATAAGATTTAATATGATACAGTATATTTCACTGTGAAAATGTGAACGCATACAACTACATGCATATTCAACAATGCAATATATAGAAATAAATACACAGATTTGCACAATATGGCTTTTACAAAATCAAACACTGTCAGTAGCTTTAAAGCCTCCGGTATCTCCCTCCTCAATTTCACCTTTTCTTTCTACCCAGAGGCATTGCTATTTTGGGTCTATCATTCTTCCCCCTCCCTCACTCCTATCTCAACCACCTTCAACCTCCCTCTCCCCTAGGTCTGCCTTCTGCACTCTACCATCCTCCCCTCCCTAAGCCCCCGACTGACCATCTGTCATCTTCCTAGGCAGCACCCCTCCCTGGTCTCTCTCTACATGGCCCATCCAGCACCACCTCAACGTCAATCTTGTTCCTCTGGAAAAATTCCCAGTCACTAATGTGGATTACATCTATGTCCCTCACTCCCACTGCCTTGCCACCTAATAGTAGTGGACATAGTAACAGCAACCCCTGATTGGTTCTTTAAACATATTTGCTGGCAGCTTCCTCAGAACCAATCCGAGTTCACCCCAAGGCCCTGGGCCTAGATCCTGGAGAAGGCTAGGTTGTGCAGAAGGGCAGATGGGTAAATTAAGCTACACTAAACTGCTTGTCAATTTTGTGGACTAAAACTTAAAAATTGCCATAATTTCTTGCCTACCTGATAATGTGCTGAATGTGTGCATTACCTGCTTAAATAACAAAATAATTAGGTACCCGGGATTTACATATTATGGCACTATTATACAAATCGCAAAGCAATTTGAAGAGGAGTGAACATGGAGTCCAAGCTCCAAGACATTGAAAATTTATTTTAATCTTTTAAATTAGCAGACTTTATTTTTTAATAACAGTTTTAGATTTACAGAAAAACTGAACAGAAAGCACAGGAACTGTCCAGATACTTTCTCCTCCCCCCACCTCCACTCCTAGTTCCCCTCTTAGCAACATCTTGCATTGGTGTGGGACATTTGTTACAACAGATGAATCAATATTGATACATAACACCCCCTGCTGCAGCTGCTGCTCAGGGTGCTCTTGCAGGTTACCTGGGCAACATGTACATTGCTTCTCTTGGCTTTTATTGTACAGTCAGTACTATAAATTCGTTGTTTTGAGTTTTGTAACTTGTAGCATTTTAGGCGCCCTTGTGCTTGTACTTTGTTGTGTAGAGTGAAGGGATTGTGTTGAATAAACAGGATTAGAATACAGTGGAAAAAAAAAATATTGATACATAAATATTAACTAAAGTCCACAGTTTACAATAGGGTTCACTCTTTTGTTGTATACTCTATGGGTTTTGCCAAATTCATAATGTCATCTATCCCCCATTATAGTTTCATATAGAATAAAATGCCCCATGCTCCCCCTCCCCAAAACCTCTGATCTTTTTACTCTCCCTAGTTTCGTGTTTTCCAGAATGTCATATAGCTGAAATCACACAGCCTTTTCAGACTGGTTTTGTTCAGGTAGCAATCAATACAGACTTGAGGTTCCTCCCTGTCTTTTCATGACTTCATAGCTCATTTGTTTAGTGCTGAATAATATTCCATTGTATGAATGTGCCACAATTTATCATATTCCTCTACTGAAGTGTTTCCTGGTTGCTTCCAATTCCTGGCAACTATAAATAAAGCTTCTATAAACATTCATGTGCAGGTTTTTGTGTGGACAAAACTTTTCAGCTCATTTAGGTAAATACCTAGAAGTGTGACTGCCAGAGGGCATGGTAAGACTATGTTTTGTTTTGTAAGAAACTGCCAAACTGTCTTCCAAAGAGGCTGTACCATTCTGCATTCCCACCAGCAATGAATGAGAGCTCCTGTTGCTGCACATCCTGACTTTTGGTTTCACCAGTGTCCTGGATTATAGCCACTCTAACGTGTGTCACGGCATCTCACTGATGCTTGATTTTGCAATTCTCTCATGATGTATGATGTCGGGCATTGTTACACATGCATATTTGTCATCCGTGTATCTTCCATGGTGACTTACCTATTCAGGTCCTTTGCCCATTTCTAAACTAGGTTTTTAAAAAACTCATTGTGAGTTTTGACAGCTTTATGTTTATTTTGGATACCAGTCCTTTATCAGATAGGTTTTGCAAATATTTTCTCTCAGTCTGTGGCTTGTCTTTTCATTCTCTTAACAGTGTCTTTAGAGTGGAAGTTTTTAATTTTAATGAAATCCAGTAGATCAATTTTTTCTTTCAACGCCAAGATGTTTGATGCTGTCTGTCTCCTTACCTGGCAGGGACTTCTAACTCAGGGCTGCTATTGTCAAGCCATCATGCATAAAGGATGCTCAAAGTAACCTTCCGTTCTCCCCTCTCATTCTCCCAGAACCCCAGCTAGGCGGGTCAAGGATCAAAGTCCACATCCCTACTTAGGCCTCGTTGCCTGGATTCCTGAACTCTTCCGATGGCCTCCTTCTTGACTCCTGGCTCCAGACACTGACTTCAAATACATCTTCCTTGCAACTAACTTTTTTTTTCCTTTTTAATCTTTCTTGTTAAAAATGGAAATAGTTTGATTTTTTTAATGAGATAGAACCTTGTAGAAAATATGAAACAGTGCAGGAAAACCAAAAGAATTCCTTGCAAACCCACTCCAGTAACACACCAGAGATAACCACTATGTTAATGCTTTGGTCAATATCCTCCCTTTTTCTCTGACCACGTCTCTATCTAAAAATCTATAGCTGTATTTTCACACAAATAAAGCCTAGAATTTAAAATTGCATGAGGTTAAGAAGAAGCCTTATCTATGATGGACACAGACAAGCAATATATGAAGGTCTGCCTTATCTTTGCTGGAACGACCCAGGCCTCGGGGCGCCCAGCAGCGGGGGCGAGAGCAGCCTCGGGCCTTGACTCGTGGGCAGCACGAGACTTCGATCATTTCCTTTGTCCAGAAATCGCTGCCTCTCGGGTCTTCTATTCAGACCTTGTACTTTTAACTGAATGGAACAGGGGGAACTTTTCTTTCCCGAGGACACTGAAGTCGCGGGCAGGGGAGACTCCAGGAGGAGATTGAGCCACAGAAAGTCACGAAGGACTCGAGAAGGGAAACTACTGCGCAGCCGGGAGCAGAGTGTTCCCTCCAGCCTTTCTCTAGTGTCTCCGTCCCGACCCGCTCCTCCCGGGGACTGAAGGCAGCGTCCTAGCCTCGCGGCGCCACGGCCCGCTGCGCCCGAGCCACTCCGCGCTGGGTCCCTCTCCAAGGCCCTCCTGTCGTCCCGCCGACAACTGAAGGGCGACCGGGATTCGGACGCGGGGCGGAGACCCAGGACGGGTCCGGGAGGTGGCCGTGTCGGGAGCTCGTCCTCTCGCCCGTCCGACCTGGCGACGAAAAGGTAAAGGCAGCAGGAAAGGAGAAGCGTGGGAAACGCCCGCCGAATCCCCGAATTCAGCGCCCAGGGTTGCTGGCTGCTCCGGGGGCCCTGTCGGCTCTCCAGCCCTGCGCACCCCGAGCGCCGCCCCCACCCACCCTGCGGGGCTCCGACCGCCAGCCTTACCCCGACTCCGGGGCCGCGCGCCTGGACCCCTGAGTGGCCGCAGCCGGAGCCTGGAGACCCGGCGCCCACTCGACTGCAGCTCCCAGACGGCGCTGGCGCGGCGGGCGCGGACGCGGAG